GTGTGCAAATAGAAAACTACTGTGGTGTTTCAATTGTGACCTCCCATCAACATCATGAGCTATCAAGTGTATGAAATAAGTATGAATTAAGAGAGATACTAAGGATGTGCAATTCTTTGTGAAAACTCAATTGAATAACGAGATAATAGCTAGACATAGAGGCTACGATACGAACGCGAAATTGATCACCACGAGTATTTCCGCGGGAATACTCACCGCGAGCCCCGAAATGGCTTTATTGCGGGTGGTCAGCGCCAGGGACCCCAGTTTGGCCGTCCACCTATGCTGGCGATGTGCAGGAATCGGCCATTGGCGTGGAGCATGCCCGGCCCCTCAAGGAACCCTATTTTGTTCCCGATGCAGAGTAGTGGGGAGACTGTCGGCGCGGTACCTCTGCCGTCCGGATTTCAATATTCCGTCCTGTTGTCCCGTCCCCGAGTTTTTTGTTTTAGGTTACCGTGCCCACTCTTTTCTTTCCGAATAAAGGTGTGTAACGAAGCTTTAATCGTGCCTAATTATTTTCTCTCGTTAGGGAATTTGCCGGTAGGCCATATTCTGTTTTAGCGTTCCAGACCGCCGCCATTTGCTGGACCTGACAGCCGAACACCTGGGTTTATCACCTTCGACTGCGACTACTTCCGAGGCTACCGAAACCGACCGTCCGTCCGTTACCGCCGACATCGTCCAGACGCGAGATCGTCTGGTGGCGCCCGAGTCCGCCCGTCCGTTCCATGTACCGCCATTGTCCACCGTCGATTACCGCTGAATAAATTGAAATAAATACGTAAGGTGTATTATAAGACTAATTATAATAGACTCAAATAATAATCACACTAATTGGGTTTTAATTCCGACAGCACCGGCCTATGCGCGAACGGCCAAAGTTCGTCGCGTAAATTTTCGCGCCCGAAAACAATTACATCAGGTGTTTAAAATATCAGTGGCGCACTAATGAAAGGGAATATATATATATATATATATATATATATATATACACACACACAATATGCCGCAGAGAATATGTACTCATAGATTCGGGAGTGTGGAGGGTACGTGATACTTCCCTGCAAAGAAAGACTTGATAACCTGTTCCTTAAACCCTATGTACCATCATGGTAGTTTTCTGGACGTGGGAATAGAAATGTCGTGTACTGAGGCCGGGCCATACCCCCAAACCCCGGGTGACACTTTCCCCTACAAAACGTTCAGCAAGGTGGCTTTTGGGAAAGCATTTGTCAAACCCTCTTTTCCTACAATAACCGTACACACCTGGGGTTTTAGAATACCCCCCCCCCCGGCACCTTCAGGTCCATTTCCCAGTGAAGGAGGTATCGGCAACTCTTTTCTTACAACCCTCAGTACTTTTATCATAGTTTTCTGGAAATAGCAATTGATGTGCTGTGTACTGTCCTCCATAGAGCGTTTAGCCTTCAAGACTCTCATTACAGTTAGAAGATTATCACATCTTCTTCCCCAATTATAAATTATGCGGAGAATGTAGATCCAGGAGGTCTGTATAGTGTAATACCTACTCCTCAACAAAGAAGGACCTGACAATCCTTTCCTTCGCATTACCCTCAGTTCTTTCATGGTGGTTTTGTGGAAATGACAATAGAAGTGTCGTGTGACTACTGCACTACTTATTAATATCTTATAATCCTTTTACAAAACTGTCATGGGTTAGGGTTAGGTGGAAGAGCAGGACGCGATATCTATCGTCGACTGAACCTCGCCCAGCTCTGTTATTTATAAGTGGTAGTTTTTAAGTAACATTATTATATATTAGCCAAGAGCAATAAAGACAATTTATTATTATTATTACTGAGGCAAAATCGTGGTGTGGGCGAAAGTGATACCGGAGAATCTGGGCACAACACTCCCCAGCACACGGCACTTCCACTGCCATTTCCATAAAACCACCATGAAAGTAGCGAGGGTTACACGGAGACATCGAGTCTTTTTTTCTCTGGAGGTATTACTAAACGATATTCCGTACAGACAGACAGATGGATAGATATACCGGCAGGCAGACAGGCATATGACAAAAAGACAGACCGACAGAAGACAAAAAGATAGACCGCCAGACACACGGGCAGACAGACTGACAGACCGACCGACAAACATGTTGAATCTCTCATGGTGATTTTCTGGGAATGCCATACCTCCCAGACCCCTCGGAACGTATCACCCCCCCCCCCCCCAACGTTTAGCCCATAAGGCTCGTATGAGAGCTCCTGGAAAAATATTATCAGATCTTGTTCTCCTAATAAGTACTGCAAAGGTCGTAGGTTCGGGGGTGGTTTTCTGGAAATGGAAGTGATGTGTGCTATAACTTTCCCCCTCAAAACTCTTATGACAGTTCTTGGAAAATGATTTTTAAATTCTCTTCTCATTTGACCAGCATTCCATCCTTTTTAAATCTTGTTAAGCCCTCCCCAAGGCAACTGTTTGCTTCTAGAGTATTTAAGACTCACTCCAGAAACTGCACTCGGTCGCCCTACTGTGATACTCGGACGAGATCTTGAAGATCTCGTCCGAGAATAACAACTTCTTGGAGTGGCTCGGTACGGTGATAGGGAAAATTTCCACCACTATGAGAGGTTTCACACTTCCGGTAGCTCTGAATTTGAATTTGTTCGAATTTTGGAGCTTTTGGAGATTTTTGGGGGTGCGCAGTCTTGACAATCGAGAGTGTGTAGGGCAATTTCAAAATTCGAGTAAATTTAGATATGGGTAGATTTTGGCGTGCCGGGGTAACATGAGCTCCAAACCGCAGAGTAAGATGCAATTCGACCGAATTTTAGTGCGCGAGTTTCCGAAGGAATCGCCTAATTTTGATACACTTTGGGGGGGTTCAGGGATTTTGATTGACATTCAAAGAAAAATGGTTCTCTTAATTAATACAGAATAGGAAGGGATTTACTTCGGGGATTTTTAAAAGGCATTCGGGTCTGGGTGCGTTCACTGTGCGGCGAGGGTATAGGTAATCTGGGCCAGTTTTAGAAGAGAACGAGGCACCGCGTAATTGGTCGCGAGAAAAGAAATTTCATTCGGATTTCGCCAGAGCGCTGGGTCCGAGAGGCGTCCACCGTAAAGGGTGTTCTCTAAGTTTTTCTTCAAAAAGAGATGGTTGTAAAGGAGAATATCATTCACCTTAGGGTTGTGATAACCCTTTTGACGGCTGCCTTGCCGTTAATTTCAAATTCTTTGATCTGCCTAATTAATTGTCACGAGTGTGGGATGACTTTAGTAACGTTTTTAAGGCTATTTAAATAATATATGGGGGGTCCATGAGGCTTAGGTAACCCCATCTTTCTCTTATAGACGTATATCAACAAAAAGTTCGTCTTGTGCCTACGAAATTTATCATTTACCGAACCCCCTGTAGAAACGATGACAAGTTGCGACGGGCCAATCGCCAGATGTATATTGTTTAGAGGTATTTTATGTGTGTAAATCATTCGATATTAGACTAAAAAAGCGCGTTATTTTACACTTATTTTGCAAAAGGTATTGTGTCATATCCACAGGTTATGTAAACGCACTTGTAGATATTGCATTGATTGCCGATCGTTGCTGAAATTTGTCAAGTAGACAACCTACTTAGGTGGGTGACTTAAAATGTAATAACGAGAACAGAGATGACTACGAACCTTCCAAGAAGAGACACGTATAAGTAAATAGTTAATAGAAGAAATGGTTGTTATTAAAAGTACTACCTAATGACCCTCCGAACATAACAAAGGGGCCCATATTAAAATGAGTCGCGTATAGTTGTATACTCGCTCACGCGATGATGTGGCAGTCTACATGCAGCAACGCTCCCTTCAGTGCGCATAACCAACCAACTAGTGTGGCAGTTTTCGCAAAGCCGGTGCCGGTGAAGTTGGGCTGAAAAGTAATGCGGGGGTGAGTTTTTGAATTTTAAATCTTTTGGTGCATGCATCATACGCAAATTCGCAGTCGTGCCGTTTTTATCGAAAAAATACTATTTCGTGGATATACGAACAAAATGGCGTCCCCTAATGTAAACAGAACGGGGTTCTGCTCCAGCCGGCTGGCCATAGATCGAAATTCGTATTGATTGAAATTGTTTAATTAATAAAATAAAAATAAATAAAAATTCAAATATTAAATTCCCGATGTTGGGTATGTAGCCACCTCCACCGTCTGTCAAATCCTCGGTTGACCTTTGACTCTGGTATGGTGTTTTGTTTTCCCCAACTCGGAACGTGCGGTGGATGGGCAAGTGCTACTAGTTCGCTGTGACGATAAGAGTTATTACCACATAAGCCCGGATTCTTATCAAGGCTCGAGGAGGTATCAGGTAAAGGAAGTATCGGCAGCTTTCAATACAATACAATACAATGATTTTTATTGAGCAGTAACCGACATTTTACAACATTTTGTATTTTACCGGCTTTCCCCCAGTTCATTTTGTCGCCCCGTAGGTTGTCTTCTTGCATTTGTTTCCCAGTGCCGCTTAGTCTATTGGCGAGAGTAGGGGGAGTCGTTCCTAGGGTTGAATTGAATTGTTCCCGAAAATATCCGCTCGGCACGCGCCCGGGTCTAAGCGTTTCTATGTCTCCCCCTCCTCCCGCCGTGTATTATTATGCTAAAAACTTAATTATTCTACTTAATTAAACTGTTTCGAGGGGCGCCGCGGTGCCCCCGTCCGCAGTTGTCAGGGGTTAGGCCCCTGCCGGTGCTTCTTAAGAGAATTTATGTAAACCCGCCCGAAAGTGCATCAATGTACTCCGGTCGGGTTGTCGGGAGTGAGGCTCCCGCCTTCTGAAAAACCTAATTATTTCATTCTAACTAAACTGCTTCGAAAGGCATCGCAGTGCCTTTTTCCCCAGTTGTCGAGGGTTAGGCCCCCGCCGCCTCTCCTTAATCATTTGATTTAAACCCGTCCGGAATGCCTCAATGCACGTCAGTCGGGTTGTCGGAAGTGAAGCTTCCGCCAGCCAATGTCCGTGTCGTTGCAGTTTTCGCCGTGTTTATCTCGCCTCGCCTCTCGTCGTTGGTCTCGGTCGCTCTACCTTCCGGCTAAACTGGGCGAGTTCGGCCCACCACTCCTTTTCGCCCGCCAGCAGGGTGACGTCCTCCAGGGTTCTCGGCCACCTTAATCCCGCCCTCGTAAGTCTGGCGTCGGCCAGTCCGCGATGCGCCCCTTCGGTTGGGCACTCTAGGAGGACGTGCGCCGGATCTTCTCTGTCTGCGCCGCACTCGCATTCTGTATCCTCTCTTCTTCCTATACTTTCTAGGTATACACCGAAGTTGCCGTGACCGGTTAGAAGTTGAGTAAGTTGCGGAGAGAGCGGTTGAGGCACCATTTCTCGTCGTATCTGGATCGTCGGGACAAACTTGAACGTGAGCCTTCCGGTTTCGGCTGTTGCCCATTGTTGTTCCCAGTGCTGCAGGCTTTTCTCTCGCAGTTTGTTTTTTACTCTCGCGATTGGTATTTTGTCGTACGCGATCGGGAGCTCGTCGTCGGTGGCCGCTGATTTTGCCAGTTCGTCTGCTCGCTCGTTTCCTGCGTGTCCTTTGATCCAGTGCAGTGTTACGGATATTCCGACGTCTCTCGCCTCGCCTAGCTTCCTTCTTGCGTCCAGCACTAGCTCCGTGGGTCTGGCCGCCCCGGCGATGGCTGTCAGCGCCGACTTCGAGTCCGACAGTATCGACGTCTCCCGCGCGCCTCTGTCGACCGCGTGCTGCAGGGCCTCTTTTATCCCGAATATCTCGCACTGGAAGGCGGAACTGCCGTCTCCGAGCCTCGTCTTCTTGGTCGCGAGTTCGCGTTGCCCGCGGTACGCCACCATTGCCACCCCCGCTTTTCCGTCGGCCTGCGTCGACCCGTCCGCGTATTGGCATTCTGTACTATTATTCAGAGCAGCTCTGGTCTGATTCACAGTATACTATGGCTTCACGTTATGCGCAATTTGATAATACATTATATACTGCGATTCAGAGCACCGATATGGTTTAGTGTTTGTTTTATTACTAAAATCAGCTAACCACTTGTCACACCAAACACTGTTAATATCTTCACCCGTTTTTTTTCGCTTTAAATCCCTGTTCTACTAGTTCCAAATATTCGATTATTGAAAACGTATTCTCGTTACACATTTGAACCAATACCTCTTTATAGATCATTCTAGTCTCGATTTTAGTGCAGTTTGAGAACCTTGATTACACACAAACAACAAAAAATATACTTTTCTTGCAAAGGTAACAATAAAAACATACATCTTGTAAGTGTATGACAATCAAAAACCAAAATTTTCTCCCGCGCGATCTGACGTTCTTTCTGAATCACAGTATAAATTTGCTATATCGCAGTATAATTTGACTCAGGCCCACGCGCTTTATAGAACTCTAAAGTGTAAACCATATCGGTGCTCTGAATCGCAGTATATAATGTATTATCAAATTGCTCTTTACGTGAAGCCATAGTATACTGCGAATCAGACCAGAGCTGCTCTGAATAATAGTACAGAATGCCAATACGCGACCCGTCCGTGTATATTCGCAGGCGTGCGGCGCTTTCCTCCCCCTCGACGACGCTCCATTTACGTGCCGCTTTCCCGGGATGTCCCAATTCGGAAGGAAGGGCTCTTCTCTCTGCGGCGCGCCCCGGCAGTCCCGTCCTTGCCGCGCGTCTCCCCTCGCCTCTTTTTGCCCATTCTCGTCGTACGGTTTCCCTGATCAGCACGTCGATTGGCAGCACGTTCGCCAAAACTAGGGCCGCCTCGGTAGACACCGTTCTATAGGCTCGTGTGCTGCTTTGACGACCAGCGTCCTCTGTGCGCTGAGTAGTTTCCGGTTTTCCCTGACTCCGCATTTTTCGCTCCAGATCTCGGCTCCGTACATCATCGCCGGCTGTATTGCTCCCTCTAGGATTGTTACGAGCGCCGGTGCTCGTATGCCCCACGTTAATTTTGCGGCTGCGGCGATCCTGTTTGTGACGTATCGTGTCTTGAAGGTGACGCGTTGTATGTGTTCTTTAAAGTTGAGTCGGTTGTGTATGTGGATCCCCAGGTACTTTATGCTGTCCCGACAACGAATCCAGCCTCCGCCGAGGCGGAATGACGGTCCCCTCTGCTGCGGTTTTTTTCCAAAAAAGACGACGTCCGACTTCTCCGCGGCGAACTTGAGGTTGTTGGTGCGTGCCCACCCGTCCAGCGCCGCCAACGCGTTGTTGCCTTTGCGCTTTAGGTCCTTGTACTGTCGCGATCTGACGACCAGCATCGTGTCGTCGGCGTATCCGGTCATCGTGATCCCCTCCGGCAGCTGTACCTCGAAGATGCCGTCGTATATGGCCTTCCATAGGACGGGGCCGGAGCAGCTTCCCTGCGGACATCCTCTCTGCACTTCTCTCTCTACCGTCTCGTTTGCTAGCGTCACCGCTGCCAGCCGGTCCCTGAAGAACGATGCCGAGAGAGCGACCAGGCTTGGTGGCACCCCTTTTTCTCTTGAGTCTGTGCAGGGACTCCCGGCGGCCAGGCGGTGTCGAATGCGGACCGGATGTCTAACGAAATCGCGACGCAATAGTCGCCGGCGCACAGTGGTCCGGTTTTTAAAAAAGGTGGACTTAGGAACGAAAGTGACAATTTCGCTCGGAAAATAGCTATTTGTGTATTAAGAGCGCAAAATGATATATTGTCGATTGAAAGAGACAGTTGACGCGCGACGAAGGAGCGCGGCAATCTCTTGAAATCGACAATCAATTTGCGCTCGAAATACACACAAGATTTTTTCTACAATCGAGCAGTTCACATATTTCCAGAAATTTAAATTTTTCACTCAAATCATATTAATCTTATGCCCAAATGAAAGATGTCATTTACTCGTTGTCATTGGATACTCTGAGCAATGCATATTTGATTTATACTTAATAATTGGGAGAGCGAGCGTTTTTTTCTATTTTGTCGCTTATAAGCGACAAAGTGACATTCCTCGAAAAAGATGACGTTTGCGTTGTCAAATACGAGCGCAAATGCCTACTTTGGATATCGATTGTAGAAAAAAATTTTTTCCTATGGAAAATTCAATTCTGATTAACATTTGTTCAGTACATTTTTCATATAAATGCGTCGTTCACACATAAAAAAATATTGAAGATAAATATGGATGGGGGGAAAACAATTATATTAATTTTCTCCGTCCAGTATCAAAGTATAGCAGTCAAACCTTATGTTCTTGTAAGAACATATAGTCCTTAACACCACGACATAAAAACTTCTTGCGTATTCTTGCGGCCTTGGTGCCTACATGACTTGAAATAGGTATTTAAAATTTTACTTGTGGTTTTTTGTATACTTTTCACAAGTGTTTCCATGCAAAATAGCCTTACAATGTTATAGCCAACCAACGAATTTTGTTCGGTATTACATTCTTACAACGTGTGACCGTATAGGTATGTTTGTTTTTAATACGCCAATAAATGATTGCTTCGTTCGTGAAAATTCTTTTTAAATATGTTATTATTTGAAACACAAAAGTAACATTATTTTAACAAAAAAAATTAATTCCGGTGATAAATAAACCTATACAACGAAATATCGAAGGATCCTCAGTATTACAATCACTTTTTCAATTACCATTAATTTTAATCTTACAAACTACATTTTAACAAAAATGCTACAAATTCATATGTTGGGCATTGAGATAATTCTCTTAATCTTGTTCTCAATTAACTTAGTCTTTTTCCCAACGACCCCATTGCAAGAATAACAAATTTGACATGTTTGGATCAAAATCCATGTGGCCTCAGAAAAAGAATTTAACATCTTTGAATCACACACATGCGGTTATCAAATGTACATGTGAGCATCAAGATAATGCGTTTGAAAGCTTGGACAACTTGAAATTTATGTGTAATGAATAATTTTGGGTATATTTTTCTCTCAAACTTTTGATCTAGACCACAAAGAAGAGATATATTGAATTGTTACACCTCTAAGAGTCATAGGGAATGAAATATGTTAATTTCTATTATTATGAGTTCGCAGTTTTTCCTGTTCCCGATTCACTCGAAGTCCTATAACTTTTGTTCCTGTTTAACCAGCTTCCTGAAAATCAATAGCGTCCGTTCTTGATGTCCAAAGTACCCGCACATTTAATTTCAACACAATCGGCCACTTTTAAAAAGTGTTATAGCGCACACGGGCGGACGGACGAACGACAATACAAAACTATAAAGGATCTGAAGATCCTTAACCGTACCGCGCGCGATGCTTCGGTGTCTAAAGGTCGGTGAAGGGGTATTTTGGAAGCTATAGATCTAGGAGTATGCTGCCAGATTAGTATAGTATTTTATTATTGTAAATCTGTTTCTATTGCTTCTGTAGCTTCCTCAGGCAACAACAGAAGTTCTATAGCTTCTGGGATAAGATTTAATTTCTTCGCATAGCTGTATTTTGGTCGAATGTGAGACAGGTATGGATCAGAGCTTATTAAAAAATTATGGAGCAAGTCTTCATTTGTCTTCACCCTGTTGAATTTTCTTGTTTGAAATTCACGAACCCGTCTGAAGTCTTTATTTCTGGCTTCTCCCGCTTCTTCCGAAAGAATGCCAATTGGTAACAAGCCAAAATAATTACAAATGTCTGCACCATGTACAAGTAGTTTATGCACACTAGCTGGCATATAGAACCAAGGATAGAGATGAACCATAAACTCAGCGGTCTGTCTGCAGTAAATTCGAAATTTTTCAATTTTGATGGCACACCCAGATGAAATTACTTGAAGAATATCTGCAAACCGCTTCAATAGATTTTGGTCAAGATTGGTAATCTCTGCAGACTTTTCGTACTCTCTAAAAAATCTTCTAGCCGTGTTACCGTCGTTTGTGGTTCCAAACCCTTGCTTGACCACATCCACAAGTAGCCCCATCTGCTGTTTGAATTTCTGTTGTATCAATTGTTTCTTCGCCGCTTTCAGTTCTTTGTTCAAACCTCGTGCACTCCACAACTTGAAATCCATGTTATATGAAATGTGTAGAATACACTCCATGCAACGAATCCACATATGGAGAGAAGAAAGTCCATATTTGTAAACATTTTCCTGAGCAGGTCTTGAAAACACTTCTGAGAGCTTGTTCATTTCAGTGGGTTTAGCAAGACAAATATTACAAATAGATGCAGTAGATGTGTCTGTAATAATAGTGGACACTTTCCCATCGATCATTGTCATGTGAAGCTCGTGACTATCTCAATCGCATTCCATTTTGTAGGTATCAAATTCTCTATTTCTTGATTCAAAGCAGCTTCTTCTTGCTTAATGTATTCTGCAGTCTCCTTACAAAATTTAAACTTAATGGGCCTGCAATAATGAGTTGAGGAAGGCTTTGGATTCTCCCATATGATGGAGGATTTGGAAACCAACTTCAGTGGCACTAAGCTAGCCATAAAAATACTTGAATCACATAAATCCCCATTTTCGCTTCGTTGCTTCTACGTGCTTTGTGAAGATGCTCCGTCGAATCCCCATTTACTTATTAATTTCAAGCCTTCAGATGATGATGATTCCACTTTACTATCAACAACTTGAAGAATCCTTTGGACAGTCAAATCCAACAGTGCTTGTAATTTCACTCTTGCTCCCCTTTCAATGATCTCCAAATCTTGTGGATAACATCTCTTTTTAGCTTCAAGAAGATCGTGATACGAAGGCAAAACTGGAATTTCATAATCTGACAGAGCCTGCCTTAAGCACAAGTATTTCCGTTTGGACAAACTCAGTGAAGTATACAATGCCAGTGCACGATCTTCATCAAAAGTCGTTTTTTGACTCTTGTTAAACAAAACGTTCCGAACCACTTTAACCTTTTATGATTTTTTGTTAGGTGTTCTACAACACATGTAAAATCATTTTTCTGCTCCATCTTTAACCTCGTCACTAATGCAAAGGTAAGTTCTTCTATGGAATAATCCAAAAGGGTTTACGGAAGTTTCGCTCCCAACATTTTGCCCCTCACATTTCGCCCACAGTATTTCGCCCCCGGGTATGATTCGCCCCCATCAGTTTTGCCCTCGCACAGTTGACCCCCGGGAAATTTCGCCCCCACGCATTTAGCCCCCGAATGTTTCACCCCTACTTGTTACTTGCTCATAATAAATTTAAAAATAGTAATTTTAATCGAACTTTTTTAGCTTCCTGGCTCGAGTTAGGTGGCTATTGCGATCGCCATTTTTTGGACATAAAAATTTTACCAAATGTAGACGTTTTAAATCATTTTGAGCAACTTTTAAAGAATAAAATTTTGTCCGTGTGTTGTATCTAAGTATGTACGTACGTTGGCGATTTTCGACAGATTTTGTTCAAATTTTGGATATGTAGCGTATATTAGGCATACGGAAACGAAAAATTACGAGCCGGATTTTCGAAAAAAAATTTTGGAGCGCCACAACGGCATTGAACATAGAAAATAGAAACCTAAAATTTTTATTAAGTTATTCGAAAGATCTATTTTTCTGTGTAAACCCTATAAAAATTGTGCTAGGTTTTATTACAAAAAAAAACTGAGAAAAAAATGTCAAATTTCAAAAATTCGTTTTCGGCAAAATTAGACATGTGGTGACGTCACGGAATGCCTATAGATACCCCTAAATCGGGCAGAAAACGACCCTTCTATAAAAAGAGTCAACAGAAATATAATGTAAGTTCCTGGAATAAGTATTGCTGACTAGCAATAATGCGAAATAAATATAATTTAGCACGAACCGCGATTTTTGGAGTTAGGAAGCTGTTCTGTCAAGAATGTTGCACATTTATTTTTATTTTTTAAGCATGATGTAGGTACCTAAGTAAATCAAAAGAAACACAATGTTAGGATGTTAGGTAGGATTGAATAAGTTTGTGAATGATACAATGAATAACGTTAATAATGTATAATTAAGAACATAATACAATAAGATTGAATATGGACCTGTGCAAGACATCCACGGATGGTGATTAAAATTCAAAATTGTACGCTATACCCCTGAGGTAATCTATCAAATTTCGATTGCCTAAGTCCTCCACAATACGCAGTACCCTTGCTGAAATAACCGTTTATTTCTTGTTTCGCGCAGTGGGGGCATTTCCGGCCAAGATTTGCACCATTTCAAAGTTGTGGAGACCTTGCTGTCGTTTCAGGCAGTTAATGAAGCGGTAGATGTTAGGAAAAAGTGAACCACAGGTCTCTTGAAAGCTACGGTGCCAACCCTCGACGTCATTGTTGGTGCGATGTTGACCATTCAGTGTCCGTTGATAAACGTTCCAAAATTGAATTGGAAACAAGGGGGCCTGACGTCCTCTTCGGTTAATTCGACCAATGTAAGTGTCCTCGAAATAGTTGGCAATGGGTAGTGCTTCCTGAGGAAAGTCCGGATCGTCCAAGAGATCTTCAAATGATTGTGTAACCCTGTCAGGGGGAAGAAAAGCAAGAGAGGGTATCATTCGAATCCAACGGGAAAATTCGTGGTCATTCTGATAGCGCGCTGTTAGTCCTTCATTTTGAACTTTTCGCCAAACAGACTGTGATAGGTGGAAGAAGCAGCCCGTCTTTTCGATGTTTGGAAATTCCTCATCAAACGCCTGAATCGCAGCCTGCTCGAAATCAGTCATTAATCTTCATGGCTGAAGACCTGGCTGTAAAACCTTAATATGCTGTAGCATTCGTTGATATGTTGCTTTGGTCTTGTTTGGCAGCAAGGCGTACAGCGCCGGAATAACGAGGCCGCCGTGCACTACGTGAATTGTGTAGAGTTGCTGGAATAAAGCTGGCGCAGAAGAAAACGTGCCGTCGGCGAACCATTCCTCACTTCTAAATAATAAGTGGAGATTTTGTCTTGTTCCAAACATCAATATTCGGTTGGCTTCAATCCCTGAAAAAAGGCGGCATCAATAATTGAAGTACAGAATGTCAAAAAATATCTACTGCAAAGGATTTTCAGCGATATTGTACACGGAAGTTTAGTAATATCTAAAAGCTACATGGAGAAACCAATTTTGATACTTCCGGTTTCCGGAAGTTGCCGGAAACAGCCCTTTCCGGTGCCAACTTTGTAATTTTAAATGGAAAGGGGGATCAAGTGGAGTGTCCTTAGAAAGATCTTTTTAAAAGAAACAACTTTTGCTTAAAACGTTTTCGTATATTTTTTATCGTTTATGAACATTTGCAAGTTTAACGCGTCTGACCGACGTTCTCCGGTAGGTAATGTGCCCATGAACAAAAGAATTTCTTGTAGGTCATGCTTCATTTTAAGTCAGGAAGACATTTCGAAAATCTTTAAAGGTATATTGTTCATAAGCGATAAAAAATACACGAAAACGTTTCAAGCAAAAGTTGTTTATTTTAAAAACACCTTTTTAGCGACACCCCAATTGACCTCCCTTACCATATAAAATTACAAAGTTGACTATGGCTATTTCCGTTAACTTCCGGAAACCGAAAATTTCAAAATAGTTTCTCCATATAGCTTTTAGTTATTAATATTCCTTCCGTGTACTATATCGAAGAAAAACGGCTGGCACAGGTGGGCTAAAACACCCTGTATATATAGGTTAATTCAGAACTGTTTGATGCTTTGTTCTCGAGATATTTGTGCAAAAAGAAAACTAAAACCGCGTAAGGATACAGAATAACCCACGAGTTTTTTCCATCCCTTATTTTTTTGAGGTACACTATATCGGATATTTCAGGAAACAGAGCCATATTAGGTATTTAGCCAAAACATATTTTTTTATAAAAATTGAAAGAGAACTTACCCGAGTCCCACAGAAGAAATTGATGCAAAGTGCCGTCAATATTGATCTCCCGAAACTCCTGTGGAATGTTTAGTTGGTCAATGGTTTGAGGTAGTCTTGGCATGTTACCAACTTTTCTCATCGCACGAATGGACCTCTTCAAGGAATCTTTCCTAGGTAATAGTGCAGCAACGTTGGCGTGGGCCTCTGAAACGACCTCCGCGAGTATTTGTTGTGGCGTCTCCTGGGTCGTCCTTGCTCTGGTGCACACTTCATTGACTAGTCGGACTGCTTCGGGTCTTGATTATGAAGATTCACCACTTTGATGACTTCACCATTCATTCCTTCAGTCCATACGCGTCCTTTGCATGTTGACCGCTTTTCGCAAACCCAAATTGCATTAATGTTGTCCCTCGTCTTTTTAGAAAATAAATAGAGATGGTTTTCGTAAACTAACTTCTGTTTCCCACGCTTAGAAATAACTGAATTCATATTTAAACGGAGGCACTAGCAGAACTTCACCGTTAACTAACTGATTTGAACTGGCAATGGCAAAGCAGATTCTTTGCAATGCAGAATACCCATCTTCGTAGCCATCAATAATGAATATTACCTAGGTACCTGTTTACACAAACAAGATCTTTTAATCCTACAGGTCATTTTGTTATTGTAATCACCTCTAGGTGGGTAGGTACCTGTTTAATGGCAATGCTTTTCTTCTATTATTGTGACCCTTCAGCTTACTAAAAATAGTTCCAACTGGCCGTTTACCTCACATAGATAATTAATCAAGGTTTGGAAATATTATTTCAGGATGCAATTCCAACATGCGGATAACTCCTTAAAAGTATAAAATAATAAATATAATATATAAAGTGATAAATAAAAGTATGTTTACCATACTCTTCCACGAAATTTTAAACGGATAAAACGCTTAACTTTAAGTTTATAACGTATCATTTCTATTGGTTTTACATATCTCGGGGAATGATCATGGATTATGCTTTCTTACCTTCATACCCATAACCAACCTAATATGAACTTAGATATTGAGATTTGGGGGGCGAAACATCCGGGGGTGAAATGTGTGGAGGAGAAACTTCCGAGGGGCGAAAGTTGCAGGGGCGAAAGTACCGGGGGCGAAATGCACCTGGGGGCGAAATGTGAGGGGCGAAATGCGAGGGGCGAAATGCGAGGGGCGAAATGTGAGGGGCGAAACGTTGGGGGCGAACCTTCCGGATCCCATCCAAAAGAGTCTCCGTACGCCTTTTCTTCTGCCTATTACCCAGATCACTGAAAGGTTTTCTAATTTTAGTCGCAGTAGACGTGCCAACAGTTGTACGCGATATTGATGTCGACGGAGTCGCAGTAAATGCCACAAATCACATACAAATAGATAAGAAACGTAATATTAAAAATTGGATATATATTTAGCGCCATCCCGTGGATGCGAGGATAATTAATTTATAAAACGCGGCAAATTTAAATATATGTAATTGGTAACGCTGGTCTGGAAATTTTTTCAAGTAGTCAATTTGTGATGGACAAATTGAATACTTGAAAAAATGAAAATTTATTGTTCACTTAAGGCTGAAACATCTATCGGTCCGGTCAAATATATTCTATAATGAACAAATACCGTGGTCATTTGATTGGAGCGTGCCTGGACTGTTACCCGTAATGTGAATAGCGGTTTCAGGCTTTATGTTAAATTAAAGCTTACACACTAATCCATTCCGTACCAGCCAGGGAATGTCCTCATCGCAATGCACACTGGTCATTTATGTTGACAGTTTTCTGATGGTTCATAATGTGACGGAATGGATAAGTATGTGTAAACCTTATTACTTGTCAACCGATAATGTGTAAGTAGGACCATTATTTAGTGTAATTAAATTATAGATTATTACACATTTTTGCCCTTTGAGTACATATTGTTAATGGAAGTATGAATTTTGAGATTGTGATCAAGAAACAGTTAGAGGTACAGAAATAAATGGATGATATTGAGAAACACCAATCATGTATTTATATAACCCAGATAATCAATAAAGATAGTGATGTCGTTTATTAGTTAATACTTTCACACAATTACAATGACAATACAATCTACAAATTCATTCACATACAAATACAATAAGTATACTATAAAAAATTTGGTACACAGATGTAACAAGGATTACAATCACTAAGGTTACTCACACCTCTTTTTGTATTTATGGTGTAATTTGCATTTACTTTTATATTTTTTTAATGCTTCAAGTTTCACTTGATCAATACCACTTAAATCAGTTCTGGTTGCCACTAACTTGGAAAACCGTTGATCTGAACCGTTAGAAATTCGATTAATTTGTTTACACCAAAAATGTAATACTGTCTTAACAATTAAATTAAGAACTAATGACCCTAGTTGGGTATGTTTTTCACAATTGAGAACATTAAAATTTAATAATTCTGCTATTTTTTTTGCTAAAATTTTATGTAGCATGAACTTATGGCAATGCCTTGGAATTAAATAAAATAAATATGAGCAAGCTTGCCCTACAATAAAATATAAATAGCTGCCAGGTCTAAATAGACTGGATTGTTTATATTCCCTAGCTTCAATAACATCTAATGGCACATCATTATCTGAAGAAGTTAGCAAAATTTTACATAAATTACAGTTATTTGTTTTATTCAACACTTTTTTTCCAATATATCCAGCCAGATATGCTATTGTTGCTTTTGCAATCTGAGTTTTTCTGACATGTAAAATGTCTGGCACATTCTCACAAATACTTACATCTAACGGACTAATGCCAACAATCTCCTCACCCGTTAAAAATGTGCGTAAGTTGTCCAGCGCGCCTACATTGAAATCTTTTTCACAATTTGAAAACACGGAGTGGCTCGACAAAAAATTATTGATTAAAAGTGCTTTAAAGGACGATATAAAATGAAATGCACTTGGGGATACATTTCGCCTTCCATGACTTCTCACAGATGCAAAAAAATTTTCAAGACAGTCTTGGTTAAAAGCACGTGGTAACACATAACTCACCTTATTTAAAAGTTTTTTTTTTAAATGTATAAATCCTTTAATAGTATAAACTAAATTTTTTATTGACGGCACATGCACCAATTTTTGTTTTGACGAATCCAAGAACTTCATAGTTCCCAAAACATGAATCGCTGTTGTCCAAAATGCCTCATGGGGAGAAGTTTTTGTTAATGCTCCTTTTAGAGGTTTACTCACAGGAGCGAGTTTGTTGTTGCCATTTAGACTGTCAAACAATGCATCCACAAATAATACAAATGCGCCAGTTTGCTTAGCTGCAGGTGGTAAACTGTATTCAGTATTGGTATCTGCAAAAATTATATTAAAATTCTCTTTGCAATTATACTTTCAGTACTTACCCCAACCAGCGAAACGTTGTAAATGAGATCCAACAGCATAACTGAATATTTGAGTCATGCTTGACACCTTCATTTTATTTATTTTATTGGGTATCACATGATTGTCTGTTAATTTAATTAACATACGTGTATCATCATATGTATCCAAAAAATATAGTTGTTCAATATGTTTCCAAGTTGCTACTTGGTCTACTCCATTCATATTGAAATGCAGATCTTTATTTAATAAGTTATTCCGCAGGCCTTTAAAAAGATGTGGCACATCGTATAGGGGAATAACTTCTTTGTCATTAATTAATATACCCAAGTAATTGTTGGGTATTTTGTTCATTACACAATATTCGTTAGTTTCCTTCAATAAAGAATTAATCGCCGCTTGATTTCCAGCACCTTGGTCACAGATTGTAGCAACTACTTCAAGCCCAACACGTTGACACATAGTGACAATATCTCTTATCATATGTTTCAGTTGTGTTGAAGAAAGGGGTCCACTGGAGAAAGTAAATGAAAGAGGCTGTTTCCATTGTCGATACACCCCTTTGATTAAAAAAACGTTAGCATGATCTGCTATATGTGGATATCTCTTAAATCCTAAATCGGTCAACCCCTCAATGCAGTCGTATTTGGAACTATAATGTAGCAGCGGTGAGATGGAAATTTCATCGAATACAACGGCACATAGTTTTTCATTTTCGGGCAAACTTGCAATCACAGTCCTAAGGCTATTTTCCACTTGTTTATTGATCCCTGGACGATATGGTAATTTATTTAATAAATTTGTCAAGGTACGTCGTGATGGAAGTGCAAATATTTGTGACAAAAGACGATATCCTTTCCCACTTGTTTTCAAAAGTGTTAACGATAGGATTTTTTCGTCCAATGAAAATCGACGAACTTTTGGTGCCTGTTTTTGAGTACGCACCTGTTGAAGAATAAACTTGTAAGTTAAATCGTTAACACTGTTTACTAATTCCGAAAAACAGGGGTTTTGTGCAGCCTTCGTTGCCAGAAGTAACCTATTTTGCAAGTTTCCAAATTTGTGCTGTAACTTGGCTGTTTTTTTTGCCCATTCAGTAACAACGTTGTACATCTTCTTACAGCGTGGAGTTAATTGACTCTGCCTAGTTACATTCACGACTTTTAAAAAGCTTCTTCTCTTACGACCTAATAAATTATGTAAATATTAGATAGGTAAATATGATAACCGACTTAGTTTAAATTACCATCTGATGGTGGTGACTTCAATGGGGGGGGAGTTATGTTCTCAACTGTCGGAGCCTCGATCTGAGCAGTACCTGCGTTCTCTGTAGCTGCACTTTGAATACATTCTATAACCAGTGTTTTTGTGTTAATCAGAAGAATATTTTTTATCTGTCATACCTGTAAGCTGCAATATAGAAGATGTAGATGGAAATACTTGTATAGTAGTAGGATCTTGAGTAGGATTATTCTCTGTACCCGTTGCTTCAGATGTAATATTAGAAGTGTTGTCGATTCCTATGAGTATTTAATTGATAACTTGTACTTAAGTTTGTTAGTGTATTTGTTCAACAATACCTGGTATGTTCAAAGTTGGCACAGCATCACGCGACAAACCTCGTCTTGTTCCTGGTGATAAATGCTTTTCAGCAAAATGGTTGTGACATACATAAAATGAATCATATATTTCATGTACTTCACGATCCATAAGTACAGGATTCTGTATAAGCTGAATCCACTGACAACACATATTTACATCTTTCGGAAAACGGTGTCTTTTTGCGGTTCGATCAGAACAGCCCGGTACACAGCACTTATGTTTATATATTACAT